GTGTGTGTGTGTGTCTGTCTGTGTGTCTGTGTGCCTGTGTGTCTGTGTGCCTGTGTGTGTGTGTGTGTGTCTGTGTCTGTGTCTGTGTCTGTGTCTGTGTCTGTGTCTGTGTGTCTGTGTCTCTCTGTGTGTGTGTGTGTGCGTCTGTGTGTGTGTCTGTGTGTGTGTGTGTGTCTGTGTCTGTGTGTGTGTGTTTGTCTGTGTCTGTGTGTCTGTGTGTCTGCGTGTCTGCGTGTCTGCGTGTCTGTGTGTGTGTGTGTCTGTGTGTGTGTGTCTGTGTGTCTGCGTGTCTGCGTGTCTGTGTGTGTGTGTGTGTCTGTGTGTGTGTGTGTCTGTCCGCGTGTCTGTGTGTCTGTGTGTCTGCATGTCTGCGTGTCTGTGTGTCTGTGTGTGTGTGTCTGTGTGTGTCTGTCTGCGTGTCAGACAGACAAACACACACACACAGACACACACACACAGACACGCAGACACGCAGACACACAGACACACAGACACGCAGACAGACACACACACACAGACACACACACACACACACAGACACGCAGACACGCAGACACGCAGACACACAGACACACAGTGTGTGTCTGTGTGTGTGTCTGTACAAGGATGTACGTATGAAAGCAAGCGGCGTGTAACATTCGAAGGCCAAACCCCGTGGCCGTGCGGGCGAGAGGGAATCGAAGAACATCGAAACTTCAGCAGCCTCGATTAAAAATGGGACGCCCGGATTGATGAACCCCTGGTTGATGATCCCCTGGTTGATTAATAGGGAGACCCCCCTGCTTAGTGGGAATTCATCACTGTTGGAGGGGAACACCCCCCGTACCAATATTGTGGATGGACCGAAATTATTCGCAGCACCTAAGCAACCCTGGAATGATATGATTCCCCAACCTAAATACCTTTGAAAGATGACCAAAGTGCAGCGTCCGGCTTGTCCAGGGGCATACAAGGGAAATAGAGCATAGCCAACGCATTTCCCTTTAAAAACAACAAGAGGGAAGAACGACTCAACTAGAAATAACTTCAAAAAATATTCGTCCATGTGGGGAAGAATCTGTGAAAAAGGAATCCCACACATCATTTACCCCCCCCCCAATCAGGGAATTCACTCAAACCCTCATGCTTAGAGGAAACTCTTTTCGGAGGTGGCATCAAGCGACCCCCGCTCGGGTCTCTGGGTCACAGCTCCGCCCTATTACTGTGTTTCAGCAAACGGACCCCCAATTCATTTGCTTGACTGTTTCTGGAAACTATCAAAGTCAGGAAGCGGACATGGAGTCGCTTTTCTACACGGGTGTTGGAGGGAGCCTCAGCCTCAGCCTGACGTCACTCCCGAAGGAAGTTGCAGCTGGAAATCCCAATCCGAGTCACAGAATCTGCAATGGTCACGCTTGCCAATGAGCTGCAGCATTGGAAGGCACATGTTCCAATCTCAGTCAAGGAGTTGGGAATGGTCACGCTCGCCAATGAGCTGCAATTTCCAAAGGCACATTCCCCAATCTCAGTCACGTAGTTGGGAATAGTCACGCTCGCCAATGAGCTGCAATATCCAAAGGCACCTTCCCCAATCTCAGTCACGGAGTTGGGAATGGTCACGCTTGCCAATGAACTGCAGCCTTGGAAGGCAAATGATCTAATCTTAGTTAAGGAGTTGGGAATGGTCACACCTGCTAATGAGCTGCAACCACTGAAGGCACGTCGCCCAATCGCAGTCACGGAGTTGGGAATGGTCACGCTTGCCAATGAGCTGCAATCTCCAAAGGCACCTTCCCCAATGTCAGTCACGGAGTTGGGAATGGTCACGCTTGCCAATGAGCTGCAATCTCCAAAGGCACCTGCTCCAATCTCAGTCACGGAGTTGGGAATGGTCACGCTTGCCAATGAGCTGCAACGTTCAAAGGCACCTTCCCCAATGTCAGTCACGGAGTTGGGAATGGTCACGCTTGCCAATGAACTGCAGCCTTGGAAGGCATACCCAATCTCAGTCACGGAGTTGGGAATGGTCACGCTTGCCAATGAACTGCAGCCTTGAAAGGCCAGTGGTTCAATCTCAGTCACGGAGTTGGGAATGGTCACGCTTGCCAATGAACTGCAGCCTTGGAAGGCAAATGATCTAATCTTAGTCAAGGAGTTGGGAATGGTCACACTTGCCAATGAGCTGCAACGTTCAAAGGCACTTTCCCCAATCTCAGTCACCGAGTTGGGAATAGTCACGCTTGCCAATGAGCTGCAATTTCTAAAGGCACCTTCCCCAATGTCAGTCACGGAGTTGGGAATGGTCACGCTTGCCAATGAGCTGCAATTTCCAAAGGCACTTTCCCCAATCTCAGTCACGGAGTTGGGAATAGTCACGCCTTCCAATGAGCTGCAAAATCCAAAGGCACCTTGTCCAATCTCAGTCACGGAGTTGGGAATGGTCACGCTTGCCAATGAACTGCAGCCTTGGAAGGCACGTCGCCCAATCGCAGTCACGGAGTTGGGAATGGTCACGCTTGCCAATGAACTGCAGCCTTGAAAGGCCCGTGGTCCAATATACTTTACGCAGTTGGGAATGGTGACGCTGGCCAATGAGCTACAATTTGCAAAGGCACCGTCTGCAATGTGAGTCACAGAGTCGTGGAAGGCATCTGTTCCGACCTGCCATCCCGAAGGAATTTCTACCACGCGAAAGTCTTCCAGCTCATAGCCGGAGGCCACGAAGCTCCAGCACGTTACCGGCTGGATGCTGAGGAACGCCAGGATTTCTGCACAGGGAACGGCCTCCAACACCAACTCCTCGTTGTTCAACAGGGACCTATTTCCAACAATCACCTCTACCGAGCTCATGTTGCGCTTTGATTGATCTTCGCAGGGCAGCCACCTGTGCAGCTCCCTTTTTAATTCACGGACGGTCATGTCTGCCTGCACTTCTAATGCTTTTTCTGCTCCAGACAGCTGCCGCACAGTAAGCTTTGTTGCCATGGCCGGTATCCGTTCAACTACCAAGTGGATTCTAGCAAAAACCAACCTCTGAGCTGGGTTCCTGCTTGAGTGGATGCTTCCCGGCTTGGCTGGGCACTTGGTGCCGAAGTTTGGAACGAGGCAGTTTGGGTGGCTGGGCTTGGCTTTTTGAGCGCCGCTTTGAGCAATGCTTCTTCTAGATCCACTGGGGCCACGTGCAGCGCAGAGTCACAAGCCACCTGCAAAGGCCATGGCTCGCGGAAAACTCGCCGAATTGACTGCTTCTTGGTTCAAAGGGAAATTCATTAGCTGTGCTCTGGCATGCCCCTATTTGGGCAAACCGCACGTTGCAATTGTATTGGCATGTAAAAGGTTTCTTGGCTCTGTTGCCTATTCTGTCACGTCTTTGGATGCGATGGAGTAATGCATGTCAGAATCTCATTGTTCTAGGGGTTGATTCCCCATTCTTTCCAACCATCAAAAACCAGCGACTTTCCCCGGGTTTCTGGAGGATTTCTAGAAAGAAGGATCCCTGGAAAGACTGGGGAAGGTGCCCCTAGGCAAATGGAACAACTCAACTAGAAGCAAATGGAATAATGCACTTTTGAAGGAGGGTTCAAACACACATTTTAAGGCCCTGCATTTTCTGAGCGATCCCCTAAAGCCCGCAAATTTCAAGGTTCAACGGAAACACCCAAACCCTAGCCTACAAATCTAAGGGGGCGGCTGGGAAGCGCCAAGAAAAAAAGGCCCAAGCGTCGATTTTTTTGAAGGGCCCTGTGGCCCAAGCGGCCAACAGCCCGTTGAAGGCTCCTTGCTGGACGAAGAGGCTCGCTCTTTCGGGTCGATACCTGGGCATGAGATTGAAATGGGGCCCGCTGGACATCAAATTTCGGTGATTCGTGGTCTATGTCAATGTACAGGATGGGAAGATTGCCCAAAGGCTGACTTTACGAAGCAAACCTTGGGGTTGTATCTCTTTTGGGTAGCCTTGGCTGGTTGATTCACAGGGAAACCCAGTAAACAAAGGAATCCCCATTTGGACACAGAATCCCGGATTCACCCCATCCTATGAATGGAGGTGGCGGTCCCCAAGTACTGGAAACCCCGGATTTCAAAGAGAAGCGGGTTCAAAAATCGGGGGTGTCCCTTAGTGGGGATGACCCCTTGTAGGGCCACCTACAAATTGGACCGGTTCCAGTACTCACTTCCTGAGTGGACTAAAATCAAAGTCCAAGCTTTTTGTTGGCCACTAAAATGGTCCAAACCCCAAAAATGTTCCAAATCCAAAAAGTCCAAACCCAAAAAAGGTCCAGTTTGTTGAAATTTCAACCAACAAACAAACTCGAGGGCTGAAACTTCCCCGCCCTTCTCACCCCTCTCACTTGGCCTGTCCGCCTCGAGCAACAGAGCCGTCTGGGGGCCAAGGTGCAGGGAAAGGCGTCAGAGTCCAGCATGGTCTCCGCCACGGAGATGATGAACCTGGGCGGCGCGGCGCGCGGCATGCTCCGATGGGTTTTGAAACGAGCGACTCGGCCTGCGGGGGTGGTTTTTCCTGGGGGTTGAGCTGAGCCAAATTGCTGGAAAAATACCCTCCCAATTAGAAGCTGACAGGGTTTTGGAAGACGATTTCCCTTTTTGCGCAATGTCCACGTGGATTCTTGGAAAGAGGGTTTCCATTTCCAAAACCTGCATTAAGAGCTGGGCCCTCAAGTGAAGAGCCCGGAACCCATGGTGAGCTTTGAGTAAAAGCGACCAGCTCGGCATACTTCGCCATACAAAGTGGCGAGAGGTAACCAGGTGTTTTTGATTTGCGGCTTGGTCTTCAAGGCGGAGTATGGCGAACACCACCATGCTTGGGGGTCTCCTTTGAAAAAGACACACGCAACCCTTTCTGCGGTACCAATGCCGGATCCCATCCTCATGACCACTTTGTGATCTTCAAGCTCCCTTGGTATCGCAGAACATGACCCTAATCCCTACTTCCCCCCTTTGCTTTCTACTCCTATCATCTGTCTGCTCTCACGCTGGACTGCAATTTCCGGCAGTCATGTTCT